TTTGCACTAAGATCTTTCATTTACATACATGGACCATATTCCTAGTGACAGTATCTAAAGCATGTATGGTTCATGCTTTATGGATAACATATATAATAATTAAATAATATATATAACATATATTCCATTAACTGCATGTTTCTTCATGATCCTTCTCAAACATCTTTTTTTTTTTTTTTTACACATCACTGTGCCTCATTGCCACCCAAAATTATCCCTGTACTTTATTTTTTGACTTGTATTATTTTCTTTTCAAAATATATAGACACTCCGTAGACAACTGTGTATGTGTAGATAACATCTGTATGAAATAATTAGGCATCATAATGTTAGGCAGAAAGACCAAGCTTTCAACACCAAACTTTTATTGACTTATAAAATTTAACAGCTGTGATAGCACAGTACATGTGTGTGTGTGTGGGAGGGAGTTCCTGTGAAAGATTACATTATTTTGGGCTTAGAAAATCTGAGAAACATCTGGTTAACAAATGAGTCCTGCAATAGAGTTAGTTCTTCAGCTGCTTTTTTTATCTCTAGCACTAACGTTAACTGTGCTACTAGGATTCCTGGTGGCAGTGAGTGCTCACCGGTCAGTGGTTATAATGGGGAGCTGAGAGCAGTGTGGTGAGCTGGTCATAATAGACATGAGCATGGGACAGCTGCTGTGGCATGAGAAATGTAAGATATATAGCTTACATTATATATCTTACATTATATATGCTTTTATTGGAGCAACTTACATGTCTGGGATAATGAGGACTCTAAGTTGCCTATGTGGCAGTTGGTGACAGAGGGTCTGCTGACTTGAGGGGAAGACTCTAGATGCCTTATCATGTGTGGGGACAGTGCAGTGCCGACCACATTGTCCCTGCCTGGTGTCAGTAATAGCCTACGAGAAGCATGAGTCTCCCCTGTTGAGCCTTACATCAAGATAATCCCTTCTTTGGCTAGAGTGAATGTCTTGTGCTTCCAGGATGGTAACTTTAGAGTCTCCAGTTGGATGACTAGAACACATTTACACTCTGGCAGCCACAGAGCTGCACCCTTTATGGTACAGCTATGCTGTCAAGGGTGATGGTGGCTGTATGGCAGCAAGGCTATAGCCATCACACGACTTGGAAGACTATGTCAGGTTGATGTAGTGAACTGTACGGGGATCTACAGGGCTTCTTTTGTCCTCTCCTTTGCACCAAATGCAGACCTCCACCAAGCCTTCCAGATCTCTTTCTTCAGTTTATGGACACGGTGTCTGATCTTTGATAATCTGATGCATACAAATTGCTCCAACAGCTCAGGAGTGTCATTTCCCATTACAAGGATATGTAGACACCCCAGTCTTTCCATTTTATGCTTTCAAAGCTTTGTTTCTGTTTCACCTTTAACAAATGAGCAAATACTTGTGATTGTCTCCTCTAAGCCCCATCGACATGAAGGATGTTTTTCAGTCAGTCACAGCTTCTGCGGCGTCTTTGCTATCTTGCTTCTTCCTCTCTGCTTCTGCAGCATTTTGGTAGCCTTCGAGCAGTGGGTATTTTCAGTCCCATGAAATAAGTCTGTGTATAGCAACCGACTAGCTAGACCAGATGGAGGCAACTCCTGCTGTATATGGCAGAAAATAGAGTAACTCTAAGTGCAAAAAGCATTTCAAGTGGCTTAAAAATTGCTTTATTATGGATTATAGACTACTTCTGCTGTCCTGATAATGGGAAACACTATCTGCTGTGATTCATTGTAGTCAAGCAGCATTAACTTCAGAGAGGAAAGGGAAACTGCTCCCTTGCTAATGGGGTATTTTGTGTGGGCAAGCACTGTACCTAGAATAAATAATTTTACTCTACTCATTCAGATCTGTCCTTCTAGGCCCTTTTGATGTTGAAGCTATATACTGTAGAGTAGAAAGTAAGTTAAAGAGTGCCTGAGTAATCGAAGCAAGGAGTAATTTGTTAATCTGAGAATATAATCCTGACATATTAACAGCTCTTAAACTGATTAAGTTAAACAGAAGAGCAAAAAACCAGAAGTGGCAGAATAATCTAATCTTTTCACAAATGGGGATGAAGGCTTTCTAAAGTGTGACACCAAAGATAGACTCCTTGTGTGCCATTTTGTAAGGGATGGGTAAATTTGGGTACCCAACCATTCAGTAGATTAATTTGACTGCTTTTTAACTATCCTCTCAGTCTCATGTTCAGCTGGCCCCACAGGAAGCCAAGGGAGATATATCTCACTAGGCTAAATTCAGTCCTTGTGAATACCTTCCTCTGCCACAAATTATCATACTGCATTAATTGAGAATCTATTTTATCAGGAAACTTTCCCGTTATGAAACATGAATGCTGAGAGGGCATGAGAGATTACCAGTTCTTTTTGGATGTGTGTGTTCAAATTCAGTTGGGTTGGTATGCCACATGGTGCCATTTAATTTAAATTGAATTAATCAGTAGAATATGTTAGCCACATAATTTTAATATTGTCTTGGTAAAATCCTTGACCTATAGAAGTCAAGAACAAAACTTCTGGAAATGCTGGTGAGACGACACCATAACATTAGCTCTGTTATAAAATTAATGCAGCAAAATAAATTTCTTCTTTCCTTCCTTGTCATTCTTTGAATTTTGAACCACTGCTATTTGGACAAACATCCTCCATGTTCTGCTTTCATTTAGAGAGCAAAGGTATTGCAAGGGGTAGTAATAGGGGTTTAAGACCTGTCTCTCTCTCTCTTTTGCTATTTCTCCTGTTGAGAAAGTTGCTTAGTTACTACATGTTTTAGTTCCTCATTTACAGATTGAGTGGCAGCATTTTCCTCCTTAGAGTGTGTTCTGAAGATTAAAATTCCAAATTGGAGGAACTCAGGCTCTCCACGAACCACATCCAAGTGTGGGGAAAAAAGGCCAAATTCTTGTGTGTATAAATCAGATTAAATTGATTTTTCTGCCTCTATTTGTGTACCTTTTCTCTTTATATATTTTGTTTTGCTTTTCCGGTTCCATGAGCAAAACAATACAGCTAGTTGTCATTAGTGTCCTGGAAATTGGTCTAGAAAGAATAACACCCCAGAGCCCACTGATTTTGGCTTCCCTGACCCCTTTACAGAGGGGTCTGTAAGAAATGGTGAGAATTCTTAATGGCTTGCAATACCCAGCTCTAGGGAACTGTGATTTTCCTTGGCAATTATATTTTGTTTCAAGGGAAAAGATGCTCTTTTCACTATATTGCTGGAAAATTAAAAGTTGTGGACGTTGCTCAAAGCTCTTTCCTGAGACGTGCATTTTTATTTTAAGTTAATTGATTACTTATAATGATGGATGATGGGGACAGACTTGGCTTCACCGAGGGCAATTCTAGCCTTGCTGGAGCTGGAGTTTACCATTTATTGGTAAATAAATGGGCAGAACTTTGTCTAATGACTTGAACAAGTATATTAAGAAAATTGGACAGTCACAAAGGATCTTGGAAAAACTGAATTCAGCTTCGCTTATTCATATGAGTTAATTTCAGTCATGGAGAGGTCTGTATTGAATGATTTAGACATCCCATGGTCTTTTATTTATGAGGTCTGTAGGGTCTATTATATTATCTTATAATTTCCATTCTGCCTCAGGTCAAATGCAGATTTCTATAGTACTCAGAGAACTAATAGTGGGAAAGATTTGTTTCCAGATTAACCAGAGGTGGTCCCACACTACAGACTGTTGTGTTTTATATATGTGAAACCAAGTCTGTAGAAATTTTCTGTTTTCATTTTCTCTTTTCAGTGTTCTTTAATTATTTATGAATTTGTGCCTGAAATTTTGCTATACCCTTATAAATCACAGAAGAAATATTTAAGGGATTATTTTTCCTGTTGGTTAAAACCAGTCATAACTGAAAGGTTTACTTAGTTTGTTTATATCTGGATTTTTTTTATAAGCCTTTTGAACAATTTTGATTTCATTATGGCAGCGTGTGCTGCACAGTCTGGCAGTACAGATCCACAGGGTTATAGCTGGGCATTATGTAAATATTATATTTATTTTAATGGGAACATATTATATTTTTAATATGTTTTTAGAGAGAAAAGGAAAATTCTCTGAATGTAAATCTGGCTTTGCTGAATAGTCATTTAAAAAGAGTGACTGGAAAGTGACATGTGTACCCTTTTTAACTTGTATAACATTGAGAGCCTTAGAAATTTTAGCATCATTCATGTTAACACATCAAAGTATTGCTGGCTGAACTCAAATCTCTCTGAAATGCTAATCTGCACCCTTAACTGTAGTGGAATGAACATACAGATGGTTCTTCTAATTACTTGGAGAAAGAAAAGGGGATGATTTCCTTTAATGATTTCCCCTTCTTTCCAGACTGAATGCAGTTCCAGCTCTTCCCTCCAGCTAATTTGACGATTAAAAGATGCCTTTGTCTTGCTTTCAGCTATTGAGGTTTCATCACAATTTGTTAAAACTTTCCATCATGAAGCGAGGTGTGAACCCAAGGCTATGCAGGTTTGGTTCAGAGGTCATGTGAAGGGGAATTATAACCTTGAATATTTAAATGGTGGGGAGGAGGTATTTTCATCAGCTCATCTTATTGCACCAGTGGCAAAGATGGGTTTTTAGGATTCAAATAGAAGCTTGAATCTTAGATGAAGAAGGTCATTGATCAAGGAACAGACCCCAGGTATTCAGGCTCCAGACTCATAGTAGTCCCATTTTCCCAAGGATACAAATGAAGAGATTTGAAACACATTTCTAGAGCTGTTGACTTCACTGCTCTGCTTTGTGGAGTAACACAGACTTCAGAGGAACTGGGGAAAAATGATCTGTGAATAATTTCAGAGCTTTTAATTTTCACTATGGACCAGAACAAAGGTTGAGATTTTCCAAACTCTATCCTGAAAAACGAGATCTGCACACTGTGGAAATAGCTGGCATGATCGCCGGTCTGTTAGCCCACTGCCTCTCTGTACCTCTGGATCACAGCGGTGCAGCTACATGGGAATCTTTTTTCATTGACAGAGATGGTCTTCAGCCAAGTGGGTCCATGCCAGCTGTTGAAATACATGAGGCACAAACCTCCTTCTCTTAGGGTTCATGAGGAGCCACCTGAGGAGAGCTAAGGTCTTTGTTCTGCCCGAGAGCATGGATAAGTGACTGGAAAGGGGACTGGGGCTGTGGGGATGCACATCATGTTGTTCATGGCCTCTGTCTTCAGACCTCAAAAGTGAGTTTCATGTCTGCTGCCTTCTTTCAGCTCAAAACCCTGTTTCTTGTGGGCTAAGGTTAGTTGATGTAAAAAAGACTGGGAACAAAAGGGAATAGATTTAATTTCTTCTGGCTCATGAGCAGAGTAGCCCTTTGGCTCTGTTTTGAAGGTTCTGACCCATAGCTTTTCATAGAAAAGTATATGTCAATGACAGTGTCATCCCACAACTACAAGTATTTCACATCATTTGACATGGCATCAAGCTGCTACTTTTATTTCAGGATTCAATAGAAATTTATAAATTACCATTTGATGGTGAATTTCCCTGAATATTCTAGAAGCTCTCATGGGTATTTTTCTATTAAAATACTTGGTGGGAATAACAAAGAAAAAATAATAGCTTAAATAAATGTAGCTACTTCATTTCATCTGAACCAATACATACAAATCTTCATCACTCCCTATCAATGTTTTCTGTTCTGTTTTTGAGGTGCACCACTTCTCTCCAAGGTATTCAGAAGAAGAGGATTTCAGTTCATGAGTGTAAAAAGACTATTTCAGTGTTCAGATTGACTAACTGTGAGGTCAGAGTTCATTGGGTTTTTTCTCCTTCATTTTCTATTAACCAGAAAGTTGTATAATGATTTTGCTAAATAAAACCGTAACCAGGCTTAAAAGCTTTTTTCCTAATAGAACCAAAAATAGGAGCCATTACTGATATAGGATAGAGTTTTGGCTTTTTTGAAAGTACAATAGTGTGAGCATCTTCAGAAAAGGTTCTGAAGGAGTTTGCTGCTTACATCTGTGTATTTTGTATTTTGATTTTGTCTGCTTGAATCTAGGCTTTACAATGTTGGAAAAGAAACAGGGGAAGGGGAGAATGCTTGGTTATAAATTCTTGCCTTACCTTCTTGTTCCTCTGCAGTGATGACACCTCGTACAGTGACAGGGAAATGTGGTTTGCCTAGGTAAGATATCAGCAGATCTAGATCCCCTTGTCAATTCTACCAGCAATATCTGCCCTTCTCCAGGGCAAAAATTATCCCGCCTCGTCATCATCCTCCTCAGCATCATCCTCCTAGTATGGAGATCACAGTGATCTTTGCTTGGTGTCAAAAAGACTTGTTCATTATTGTGCAGAACATTCTGTGAGGTTCTTGGCTTGTTGCATTTTCAGTGATTAAGCTGTCTTCTGTTTGGGAAGGTCTTACCATGTTCAGTAAGTAATGCTCATTGCAAGTCTCTCTGAACATCTGGAGTACTACTAGAGCAACAAGGTTAAAATAATAAACGAGTCCTACATAACATATATCAGCTCACCTCTATGGAGCTTTTTAATTTTACTCTAATAAGGATATGGTTTTTATGACTCATTACTACTAGGAATGAAACATCTGAAACAATCCTTACGTTCTTGATAAGAACTAGTTATTTTGTTGCAATGCTGAAACAAAATATATGTAGAGTGTTGTAAGAAATGTAAACATATGGGCCATGCTAGACCTCACAGATTTCAGTCAAGTTCTCTTCATGTATTATATAATACTAGACATTGTACTTGAGCCATTTGTGATTTTGACACTGCAGTGTTTTGTTGCAAGTTTTGAGTAAAGTCAACAGAATGTAAAATTCCAGGTTAAGGTTCCCACATACTTTGGTTAATAAAGTCAACACTCATACAACACTGGAGTTCACTTGTTTCATGAAACAATAGGCATTGCATTTGTGGTTGAGTTGGCATTATTCACCTAGAAAGAAGAAAAGAACCTGTTGTTTAAAAAATAATTAAAAAAAGGGGGAAATTTCTCTGCCTCGAGTAGCATATCTTGGAGCAGAGCAGCCACAACAGAGGAGCAGGAATGGGACCACATTTTGCTATCATTCAACAGCATCAGATGGTGAGCACATCCAGCCCTGAAGCTAGTGACCGTAGATAACAGACATTTAGAAACCAGGTAAAGTAGAAGAGATTTTTTTTCTGTAGAATAAAAATATCTGTGGAAAAGAAGATAAATTCTGGGATAGATATTTATTGTAGACATTGCATGCTCAAGTCTTCTAATTGATGGTAGTTCAATCAATGCATTCAGTTGAAAACAACTGTTCACAAAATAAGAGATAAACTGTGACTTTTGCTGTTCATCATGTACCTGACAAAGCTCATACATAAAACCATTTATGTCATCACAAATAGTCACAAAATGAACTAAATGCTTCTTAAAATGGAATGTTAGGGCAACGCTACCTGGAGACTAAACCCTTAATCTAATAGCAATCAGGTAATGGGATAGTATCCATGGAGAATAATAGGACCTACTAACATGAGCTGAGGAACTCCACAGATGAGGCTGGATTCCTGCTTGGTAAGAGTGATTAAATGGTGAGAGAGCATCCAAAGGAAGGGCTGAAAGAGATGGGCCAGAAGGAGTCGCAGTAAAGGAAGTCTGATGGTCTTTGTGGTTTCAAATTTGCATTAGATAAAAAGGTCAGGAAAAGCGAATAAAGCTAGAGAGAAGAATTCTAAAGCAAATATGGTAAAGAAAAGGGCAGGGGAGAATATGGGCAATGTTGAAATCTGAAGGAAAATTCATAATGATTTTCAAAAGAATCTCAAGTCAGGAGTATTGCATTTATAACCAGTGCTACATCTATCAGAAAAGCATGAAGGAATAAACAACAGAAGTGATGTGTGGGTGTAAATCATGTCAGTGGGATTCATCACAAAATGATCATTCACCTTCTACGTTCTTCTAATTTCTTGCACATTAAGCCTTTTCTGCTACATATTTAACCCATCTGACAGCGGATGACTTGAATGGTTTCCGTGACTGACACTGTGAAGCAGGGAAAAATAAACAGCCAACATTTGCTATGGAAGAGAAATGGACACAAAGAAAGAGAATAAACCCAGATGTTGAAGCACAGCTAAAATGGCTACAATGCACAGTCACACACAGAGTGAGAGAATAGTTCTGACAGCAAATGTAGACATATACATTTAGAGGGGGAGGTGACCATAAACCAGCCTGGCTGTGAATATGTTGGAATTTTTTTTTTCTTTCTAAAAAATATCACTTCATTAGTCTAAATGGAACTGTGCTGAAAACATACAGAAGGCTTCATTAGAAGTTTCTGTTAGGTTGGGTGTTTTTTTCCTGATGACATAGGTTATTAAAGTCTAATCTCATTTTTTTTTTTTTTTTTTTTTTTTTTTTTTTTTTTTCCCAAACATGAGTTAGCATGAGAGAGGAGAACGCATTTCCAAATACTGTTCTTATCTCTACATAATGTTATTATGCAAACTATAATCAAACTAGATGACAGTCCTCCAGACAAACCTTTAGAATTAAGAGCTTTCAAAGCTCCAGGGCAGATTGTTAGTGGGATAGTTAATTAAATGGAAGTTGGATTTTATTACTTTGTATAAATGACTAAGAACAGCTGGAATGGTGTTGATCCTCTGAGTTTTCTTCCTTTCTGTTTGACAAATATTAACTGAACTCAATTGCCCCGTTCAAACAGTAAGTTTACTCATGGCAACGTGGTCATTACAGAACATTGGGTTGCCGTTGCCTTCCTCCTTCCGCACTTTACCCATCACTAGGGTAGACGGGTGCTTTGGAAGGAAAGAAGAAACCAAGAAATGCTTTTTCCTTCTTTAGTTCTTGGGGGAGATCCCCCTGGGCCGCAGGGTTGGGTCCAACCGTGGGGTGACCCCGCGCCTCCCGCGCGGGTCGGGGCGCGGGCGCTGTCCGTGGTGCTGCAGG